TAGGGATCTGGGGTAAAAATCTGTCTGGGGATTGGTTCTGCTTTGAGCAGGGGGTTGGACTAGATACCTCCTGAGGTCCCTTCCAACCCTGAGATTCTATGATCTTTGTACCTGGAGCCGTCCTACATGACTGAGACATGGAAACAGATTAATCAATATAAATACCAGGCTCTTATGCAGCATGTTTCATCAGATGATCTCAAAGCACTTCACAAAAGAGGCCAGGATCATTAGCGCCATTTTACAGATGCACAGAGATGGGAAGGGACTTGCCCGAAGCCCCCTGGCAGGCCAGTGGCAGAAGCCAGGACTAGAGCCCAGATCTCCTGTGTTACACTCCCAAAAGGCTAGGAGCATTCTAGAGACGAGGACCCTCCTCTGCTCATTAATCTGATCTCTGGCCGAGTGACTGAATGCACAAAGGGCAGCATAGGTATGAGTTTATATCATCTGTGTGGGAAGGACCTTAACTAGAAAGTGTAGCAGCCCACCCCCTATGCTCCACTCCACTCCACTCCACGCCAGGACACCCTCCCTTTTCCACTGTTAAAGGAGTCAGACCAGAATAGCAGAGGAAAGGCTCCAAATCAGGAAATTAGGTGCATGGGCAGGAATTGGGGCGAAGGAGCCTTAGCTACCCAGCTAAGACAAAGGGGATTGAATAGCCCTGCTGCATGTACAATAAAAGGCATTCGGCATCTCCTCCTCCTGTTACACAGGGCATCCTCTAGTGCTCGGTAACCTGGCATTTTCCCCTTCACGGGGATCCCAGGCTGGATTCTCGTGCCCCATGGTAATTCATGGTTCCTGCCCTCCTCTTGCAGCCCCAGCAAGGCTCATTTTTCCATCTCAGTCTCCACCACACCCAGCAAAGCTCCAGAATGATGCTCAGCTCTATTACTTGTTGCTATGGTGACGAGCAAGGTGCCAGCGCTGGTGCACGCTGAACAGCAGAGCTAGGAGGAGACTGGAGTGTGTGTGTGTGGGGAGGTGTAAATCACATCCCACGTTCACCTGCACACACTTCTGCCTTCCTGCTACTGTCCTACCCCAGCGTCTTCCCTCCCCAGCAGGCCGGACACCATAAACATCCACGCGATGGAACTGGTACTGGTCAGAGAACTCCCCACCCTGGCCAGAGCCAGCTCCATAATCATCCTTCCATATTGTGTGGCTGCCAGTAGAGACAAAGAACACAGAACAGAGCCAGGACTCCTGGGTTCTAGTCCTGGCTCTGCCACTGACTCCTTGGTGTAACCCTGTCATGTCTCTCTGTGCCTCAGTTTCTCCAGCAGAAAAACGGGAGTAGAACATAAAGGTAAATTAATGTTTGTAAGGCCCTTGGGTGCAGAGGGTTACTACAGTTCGAATAGGCCTGGGTTGGATGGTACCATGTGCTTACGCTCTTGTCGCTGTTATTGGCCAACAAGCATCCTGATCTCTACTCAAGATGATGCAACCACAGGGGAGGAGTGGGAACAAGCTAACCCAGGGGATGTGTTCTTCTCTCTTGCTCTTTTGTACAAGTTTGTCCTATGATTGTCTCCTCCCCCTGCCTCTATCGGCTCACCCCTGTGGCCATGTTGGGGAAATCAGGCAGGCTTGGAGCTGCCACAGTTCCACCCAGAGGTCAGAGAGAGATTTCATCAGGTCAACAGGTGTGTATGTAAACAGACCGGGGCGGAGGAGGAGGGAGATCTGGATTGTGTCTCTCCCCTTTCTATTGTGGCCCCTTCAGAAGCTGAGTGGTGGTGTGAGCTTTTGAGGGGGTCGTACATACAACTTCCAGGCAGAAATTACCTGCCCCTTGACCACTCATTTTCATGTGCCCTCCTCTTCCCTGAGAGTTTGTGCTCGTGCATTTATTTGCATAACTTTGTGTCGTTTAGTTTGGTGGGTGTGTATGTGTGGGTACGTGTGTGTGTATATTCACATACACATACAACCCCCCACACACACACAAGAGTGAGAGAAGAAAATCTTGGCTCCCTAGCCCTGCTGTTTGCTTTCCCCAGCCCCACTGATGAGTCCTGTTGCTGCTGCAGCACCCACGGAGGAAGCCATAGCTCAGGCAGGCTGCCAGCAGCAGGTGCAGCTCTCCTGGGAACAGCCATTATTAGAGGTTGCTTTTGACAGCCCCGTCCTTCAGACCCTCACTGAGACAATACGCACCCCCCACTCCCCGGCCAGGAGTGCCATAAACCAGAGCATCTGAGCAACATTGTCTGGTTTTGTTGCCAGTGGGGATTAAATTATAGAACACGGACCTGCTTGATTATTACAGGAGGACAATAAAAGGAAGAATCAGGGAGTGACAGATGGTCTTGGGCAGCCCATTGTTTGATCAGAAACCTGCTCAATCCCTAAATAGCTAAAGTCTGTAACATCAGTTAGCAGGAACATGCTACACCTTCTGAACAGTGACAAGGACAGATTAATATACATTTCATTACATCAAAACAAGGCCAGGAGGAAAGGATTCAATCTTGTTAAAAAAGAGGGGACTGAGGCCAAGACTCAATGGGGAACCCAACAGAGTTTTCTAAAGAACCAAGTGTAAATCTGTCTGAGAACAAAATGGAAAAGGATTCTGCGGTTCCTACAGAGACATGGGAGATGAGGTGCTATCTTTTACTGGTCCAACCTCTGTGGGTGAAAGAGACAAGCTTTCAGACTACACAGAGCTGTTCTTCGGGCCTGGGAAAGATACTCAAAGTGTCACAGCTAAATACAAAGTGGAACAGTTTGGCATAAGTCATTAACACAGATTGTAAGAGACCATGTAAGATTCTTCTCTGTTATATATAAGTCCATCAACAGGGGTTACTCCAGAGGACGCCTGCATAACTGACATTAGAATCTGGCCCTTTTTATAGTCCTTAGCGCGCATGATCCACAGCATGACATGAGGAAAGTTCAGGAGGGTTCTGCTCAGATATTACCGTGGTGGGGCCGTATAAGTACCAGAGGGGGAGGAGGGAGGCGCATCGGCTGAACTGAGTAAAAGCTCATGACTGGAGTAGCCGGGGTGCTGTAGGTCAGAATGAGATGCCTGGGGACTGGAATAGCAATGGATGCTGCAGATAAGGACTATGTGCCTTGGCAGAGCTGTGGTGGCTCTGGGAGTAGAATAAGAGAGGTCATTGCAGACCAGGATTGAGGTGCATTGGCAGAGCTGTATGAGGGCTGTTTACGGAGCACCTGACCACACACTGTCAAACGAGTGTTTCCAGTCTTTCCTGTACTGGGCACTAATATACCTTAAAACTGGGCATCCCTTCTAGGAATGAGAATCAACACGTCTAGGAATGAGAGATCCCACCTCTAGGAATGAGCTTCTGTCCTTTTTGCTGCCAACAGGGTGTCTGGTACAATTTGGACACATGTCTCATCTAGTGGCACCAAGACCACTTAGAGAGCAATTAATGAGTCTGCTCTACAGCCTTAGCTAACAGCCAGTTGACTTTTAGCTCATGTCATAGAGACTCATGCACTAAGCTCCAGAGGTCCCCGGTTTGATCCTGCCCACCGCTGACGGGATCTGACGGCATTACATCCACTCTTAGCAGAATGCACCAATTCATTTCACACAGGACACCAAAGAAGAGAAAGACTTTTGGTTACTCCTAGGGCGACCAGATAACGCATGTGAAAAATCCGGATGTGGGGGAGTAATGGGGGGGGGGGTAATAGGATCCTATATAAGATAAAGGCCCTAATATTGGGATGTTCCTGATAATATCAGGCGGTCTGGTCACCTTAGTTACTCCTGACCCAGAGACAAAGGGAACTCTAACCCACCCCTCTCCCAATTCTTTGAGCCAGCCAGGATCACCAATAAATCCCCTACCAAAGACACTAAATCCTCTGTACTTGAGAATGGCACCCCATGCTGCCAGCCACGCTCTTTGCTTGACCAGTTTAAGAACGGGAACCAAATGATTTGCATTGGTGAGGCTTTCCGCTCACAGGAAGTGAGGCAAGGCACAGAGAAGAGTGGGGTGGGGAAGATGAGACACAGGTGCAGGGAGGAGGAATTAACCTCTCAGATGCTGCAGGCATAGAGATATACATGCCACCTTAGCATTCATTTGGCAGGCTGGAAAACAGCGGTGTTCTTAATATTCAGAAACAGCTGCTACTGACTCAGTGTAGCCTATAATAATCTCTTCTATTCGCACCTTTCGTCCAGGGATCGCAAAGAGCTTTACCAACACAGACATGGAGATGGGAACGCAGGCACCTGTAGGCTGGGATGTGGCAGCTGTCTAACAGGGGGCAGAATGTAATAGCCAGAGGTGGCCTTTGGCCAGGACAGCCAGACTAACACCCGACACTGTACCTAGAAGTGCCACAGGTGGCCAGGAGCTCGGCTTTCCCCCATTCAGAAGAGAGCAGCCCTGGAACCGTGGAGGTGCTTTGCCTTCAGCACTGCCCCACAGGCAAGGAGGCCACCTCCTCATGGCACGCACGGCTTGCACCAGCCACTCTCACCTGCGGGGGGGAGGAGGGGCATTTCCCAGCCTGGCCCCTTGGGCTAGTCTCATTAACGCCCCCAGGAGCCGCAGCGCCACAGCCTGAATTAGAGCATCCAAGGGGGGCTGCGCCAGACCCAGTCGGTGCTGGGAGGGGAAGCTGCCCCCTCTGGGGCGGCCCCTGGAAGGTGAAAGCTCCCTCCTTGGGGCCCCTGCTTCCCCCTCCCATCCTGGGGCGCCCCCCCCCCCTCCCCAGTGCCCCTGCTGCCCCCTCCCACCCTGGGGAGCCCCTGCCCCCATCCCTCCCCGGGGCCCCTGCTGCCCCCTCCCATCCTGCGGAGCCCCTGCCCCCCCTTGGGGGAGCTGCTTGCTCCTGCCCCTGCTGCCCCCTCCCCGGGGGGCCGCTCCCCCTCCCGGCACTGCCCCCAGACACGGCGAGCGGGAGGCAGGGGTTGCGGCTCCTCCTCCCCGCCGCTAGGGGGCACCGCGCGGAGCTGCTGCCGGCCGCTCCCTTTCCTCCAGCCCGGCCCATCTCGTTGGCGCCGGTGGGTCCCTCTCTCCGCTCCCCGGCCGGGCCCGTCTCGTTGACGGCGGAAGATGGCGGAGGAGACCCCGGTCTGCAGCTTCCTGTTCAAGAAGCGGGGCCCGGCGGCCGGCAGGGGGCGGCGCAAGCGCCCGGGCAGCGACCCGGAGCAGGGTGAGGATGGGGGCGGGGGCTGGGCCCCGCTCCGGACCGTGCCATTGTCCGGCGCGCGCGGGGGGTGTTTCCTGCTGTGCTGTTATCACTGAGGATTCCGGGCCATATCATTCGTACCGCGGGGGTGGGCGCTGGGCTGTCCCAATACCATGGGGCGGGGGGCGGGGTTGGTCTGTTCCATTATCTTCGGGGAAGGTTTCTGGGCAGGCCCAATATGACGGGGGGAGGGGTTGTCCCATTAGCAGTGGGGAGGATTTCTGGACTGTCCCATTATCACTGGGGAAGGGGGTTGAGGGTTTCTGAGTGGTCCGAATATCATGGGTGGGGGAAGGGGTCTGGACTGTGCCACTATCCTAGCAAGTGGGGGGGGGGGCCCTGACAGCCTGGAGGGGCCTTGGGGGGCCCCGCGTTGTGCGTAACCCCATGATGGGAGCTGACCCCGCCTGACCCCGAGAGGGGCCCGGGTCCCCCTGCAGCCTGGTGCCCAGCCCCTCATGCAGGCCGAGTGGCCCCCAAGAGCCCTGTGCCCAGGGCCTGGCGTGTGGGGAGCGCTCCTTGGGGTGAGGGAATGGGGCCCCCGTGGGGCTGGTGACCTGACCTGGCCCGGCTACTCCTGCCCCTCCGGTTGACGGCCTCTGTTCCTCTGCAGGCAGCAGCAGCGACGAGGGGAGCACGGTGGTCAGGAAGGAGAGGCGGCGGGAAGCGCACAACCCCATGATCCAGAAGGTGACCGAGCTCCACGCATTGTCCACGCCACGCGTAACAGACCTCTCCGTTGAGTGCGGGGCGGGATGGGTCCCACGTTCGGACCCAGGAAATCCTTGGGGGAAGATCTGCAGAAGGTTCTGTGCACCGGCACCACGAGACTGCATCCTCGCCTAGCCATGGCAGTGCCAGACACTCCTTTGGAGTGGATCCAGCCAGTTTATCAGATTTATCTGAGCCCATGACAGATTCAGATTATGCAGAATGGAGATTCTCACGTAAAAAAAAAAAAAAATCCTATGTTTCAAGCCCGTCTGGTTGTGGGAAAATCTTTTCAAACGTGAACAGACAGTAACTCATGCAGAATTGACTTCCGGGGTCTGCAGGTCTCCTTGGCCAATGCCCCACTGTGAGAGAAGTGAACTTTCCCTCTCCTCTCAAAGGCGTAATATCTTTTGAAGCCTAATGAGGACACCTAAAGGACCCAATTTTACAAATCTAGGTGTGCAAATGCATAGGTTAGGTATATGCATGTGAAAATGGCCAACAAGGGGCAGTAATTGGGAGATCTAAAAGTGCCCTCTGTGACTTTTACCCAGAGTGATGCAGTATGCCACAGTAACTTTAGTCACTGAAAATTTAGGCCAGGATTACACCGGTAGTGCTTTGCCAGTATAACTCTACTGGTATACTATGCCAGCAAAGGGCTTCTAGTTAGATGCGGTTTATATCAGCACAGCTCGCTCTTTTACCAGCATAGCTTATTTCTCCCCCACCCCACTCCAACTGTAAAAGGTTATACCAGCACCAATGCAGTTTGGCCTGTATAGCAGCATCTACATTAGGGGCCTCTGCTGGCACTGCTATAAGGGTCAGGGATCACACCCTTGATTGACAGGAGCATGGTGGCAGATGTCTGTAATGTACGTATAGCTTTAGTTATTGGCAATGGCTCGCTTGATCTTTTCTCCGACCTCCTATTGTTACCCATTGGAGATGCACTGTAGATTAAGGGAAATGAATGGTTCTAACATTGCAGGCCCACAGATCCAAATTAAACCTATCACTTGGCTCTCTTAATGCAAGAATTTAACTTTGTGGTGCCCCTCTCTTGGTCTGGGAGAACCAAAGGTGTTTTGCTCTGCCCTCCTTCCAGCCCAGAGGTGGCTGCATTAAACCAGTGCTGTGTCTATATGGGCCCTGATTTCGACAACTCCACTGGTTTGCCTTCCTGGGCTGCAGTTCTATCTCTTGCCAACATGGGATGGGGAACGTGTCCGGGTGTTGTGCTCAGTTTGCTGGTGGTGGATCTTTCTCGGTTCTTCAGATATTTGCCCTCTCGTCTTTCAGACCAGGAAAAGTGGTAAAGAGAAGACCTCGTATGGGGCAAGCAGCAGTGATGATGAGGGGAAGTCGCAAGGAATCGGGGTCGCTTACAAATCAACAAGATCGGCGGTAAGCACAATGCAGCACGTGGCTTTAAAAGGGGCCAGAAGGGACAATTAGATCACTTAGGCTGCATAACGGAGGCCAGAGACTGTGTATGGTTGGTTTTATGATTGGGCCCCAGGATGAGGTTTTGTTTTTGAAACTCTCTTTAGTGTCCATCTGGTGCTTTTCTTTCCCTCTAACGTCTATCACTGTAGTATCTGAGTGCCTCCCCGTCTTTAATGGATCTATGCTTACAACACTCCCATGAGGAAGAGCAGTGCTGTTATCCCCATTGTACAGATGGAGAGCTGAGGCACAAGGTGGCTAAGTGACTTGCCCATGGTCACACAGGAAGTCTGTGGTGGAGCAGAGAATTGAAGCCAGGTTCTCAATGTCCTAGGCTAACACCCCAACCACTGGAGCAAGGAACTCAAAGAACTTTACAAGGAGGTCATTAACTTTATCCCCATTCTGCTGATAGGGAAACTGAGGCACAGAGGAGAAATAACTTCCCTAGGGTCACACAGCAAGTCAGTGGCAGAGTGGGAAACAGAACCCAGGAGTCCTGAGGCTCCGTCCAATGCCCTAACCGTGCAATTACAAAAAGAGAGGTGTGTGTGTGTCTACAGATCCTTATTGGTGTAGAAATTTTGTCTTCCCAAATAAACGTCACAAAAGGCCTTTTTGCTAATAACATATACTTTTCTCTAATATTGGCAATCCAAACAGCATGGTTTAGTGCAGGAGAAGCAGCCACTGCCCTATCTAGTTTAACTGCCCCGAGCTGAACAAAAGTCTAAAAGGAACAGCCTGCACGTATGGGAAATCAATTGGATCTAGTTTAACTAATCTGAGGGGGTGTTAGTAATGCAAACGGACTTTTTTAATGCTTGCCGTGTTGGGGTAGCCGCGTTGGTCCCAGGATATTAGAGAGATGAGGAGGGTGAAGTAATAGCTTTCATTGGACCAGCTTCCATTGGTGAAAGTGACAGGCCTTCGAGCTACACGGAGCTCTTCTTCAGGGCAAGAAGCGGTACGGATCTCGGCTTTGACACGCATTCCCGAACACTTCCCCTCTCTGTGCCCCCATTTCCTCCTCTGTAAAACAGGGATCGCGCTGAGCTGCCTCCCACAGGGGTTGCAAGGATCTATTCGTTCATGTTTGTACAGTGACAAGCTCAGGGCTGCGATTATTATTCACCGCTTGGCTGTCAGGGAAAGGGCTGCTGCTGTCAGTTTCACACACACACACACACACACACACACACACCCCCCAGCAGAAAGGAGGAGGTGCTGGAGAAGAATGTGGCTTTTCTGCTGGAAACTCCAGAGCTCAGTTTATTTGTAATCCAACGCTGTGACGCTCCCACCTGGATATAATTGTACTTAAATCTCTGCATGGTGGGACTGTTGATAAAGGGTTGATGAAGCCCAGGATTAATAGAAATGTTTTCACAACATTAAAAAAACAATCTAAACCGAATAGATGTATTAACTAAATTAAATGGTAAACCTCCCACAGCTGGGTTAGAAATCCAGACACAACAGCCTTTGTAGGAAGCATGGTCTAGTGGTTAGGGCACTGAATTTAGAAACCTAGGTTCAATTCCTAGCTCTGCCATCGGCCTCCTTGGGCAACTCCCTGCAAAATAGGGGTAAATGCTTCCCTATCTTCGGGAATAAAATCCATGAATGAGTGTGAAGTGTGATAGAAGGACCGAGGTGTTAGAGAACCAGGAAGTGAAATGGACAAAGTGACACCAACCTGGCTAGATTTACTGTCAGGGTACCAGAGTGAAGTGCAACAAGCAACCAGCTGGTATCAGCGGAAAGCGACTGTCCCCATTCCTCCAGCGCTGTGCGTTTATCCTGTGCTCCTGACTGCAGGATCTGAGCAGCTTTCTGCACCGTGGGAGTCTTCTCTTGACTGTTAATGGGGAAATGTGCTTCTTGCATTTCAGAAACCTGTAGGTCCGGAGGACATGGGAGCGACGGCTGTGTATGAGCTGGACACCGAGAAGGAGAGAGATGCCCAGGCCATCTTTGAGCGCAGCCAGAAAATCCAGGAGGTCAGTCAGCCGTGACCTGTAAAGCCAGAGCTCTCAGGGGGAAATGATACGTTTGTCTATTTAGTCATGTGCTTTACCCCGTTCCTTGTCCATCCCACCAGGAGGGTTTGCTGAGTCCCAAGGGGCTGCTTCCCAGTTGAAGTGTTGGGGGGGGGGGGGGGGGGTAAGGGGTTAGTAGGGGAGAAGGGCCCGGGTTCAAATCGACCTGCTTAGTGCAAGCAGTCAGAAGCAGATTAGCCACGGGTGCCTGGTCGTTTACATGGGACCTGTGGTTGAGAGGTCTAAGCCTGGAACGAGGGATGCTGCAAATCAGGCCAAAGCAGCTTTGGCAGAACTGACTGGAATAACAGGGTTCTGCAGGTGTGCTGGCAGAGGGATGTGTGTGAATGTGTTGGTGGGGCAGGACTGAGATAGCACTTGGGGCTGCAGGTCGGGATTGAGGGGCACCGGCAGAGCTGGGTGTGCGGAGCCCAGGGCTGGAATAGCCGGGGACTGCGGGTCAGGATTGAGGGGCACTGGCAGAGCTGGGTGTGCGGATCCCAGGACTGGAATAGCCGGGGGCTGTGGGTCAGGACTGAGGGGCATTGGCAGAGCTGTGGTGGGCAGCCAGTCCTGTTCCATGCCTTTCTTCCAGGAGCACCAAATTCGCCCACTGATTTTGAAAAATGGAGGTGGGGGGAAGCTTTATATTCCCTAAGTTTGACAAGCCAAGTATAAATCCCTTTCCCTGGTTACAGTGGGCACCTCCTGGCTTTTATGGGCATCCCCAGTGCTCTGAGAAGGGAGCTGGAGGGGAGGATGGATAGCAGAGGAGGTTGGGGGCTGGCGGGGCCGGGAAGCAGATCTAGGGGACTGGGAGACGGAGCTTTCTTCCCGGACCGTTTTCTTGCTTTCCCTATGTAGGAGCTACGAGGGAAGGAGGACGATAAAATTTACCGGGGCATCAATAACTATCAGAAGTACGTGAAGCCCAAAGATACGTCGATGGGGAACGCCTCCTCGGGAATGGTCAGGTAGGTGCTGCCTGAATGATGATCTGTGACCCGGTTTCTTTAGCTCGGTGAGCCAGCGTGTGGAGACGCTTGCAGCAGGGGCAGCAGAAACGTGTCTGTTCTGGGGACAGAGCTTCAGTCTCCGGTGTTGCAAGCTGGCCCCTTTCACCAATGCTACCCTCCTTTTGAAGACTGATTCAAACCAGAACCTGCCTGTAGGCATCTCAGATGCACCCGTTCTAAGCATTCTTCCGCCCCTTTCAGGAAAGGCCCGATCCGAGCGCCAGAGCACCTGAGGGCCACCGTGCGGTGGGACTATCAGCCCGACATCTGTAAAGACTACAAGGAAACGGGCTTCTGTGGCTTTGGAGGTGAACGTCCCTTTCCCTTTCCACAGCACCCATGTCCCATCCTGAGTTCCAAACTAACTAGTTGGCCCCTTTTTAAGAAGAACGTCCAGGCAGGCACAAGTTCTCCAGACACTGTGCCAGACTCACAAAGCGGCTTCAACCCAGGCAAACGCTTGTAGAGGCAAACGGCAGCATTCAGTGGCTAATGACCTGAACTTGCAGGTCCATGAGTAGAGGATGTCTACGGATCTCAGCAGGACATTTCTGGAGGATGGCCACAGACTTCAGGCAGCCTGACTCTGTTTATGTAGTGCCGTAAATGCACAAGGCGCTGGGTCCAAGGCAATTGATTTCTATAACTTGAAATACCGTAATCACCTTGCTAGGTGGCTCTTACCCTAGGGATCTCAGCATGCTTCTAAGATAAAAGATGTGCTGTAGAAAGAAGATGAACCTGTCCATTCAGTGGGTATTATTGACAGGGGTGACTAAGGGAGCATGGGCGTGTGGTTACAGCTTTGGACTGGGAGTCGGAGATCTAGAGTCTATTTCCAGCTCTACCACTGAGTGTCCCTCTGTAACCTTGGGAAAGTCTCCCTCTGGCAGGGAAATGAGAGAGTATGTGAGGGGAGGTGCTCCGCCCATTCCTTAGTGTTTGTGTCCCCCATGACGGGGTGAGGGTTACATGTTGGATGTGATGCTCGGTGCTTGGGAGCTCCATTGATCAGATCGAGATGCAAGCTAGGCTCTGTAGTCTCCATGGGCCACGCCCCTGCATTAAACAGGAGGGGGGATTGCACTCTGATAAGTTACACCTCTCCTGGGCAAAGCGCAGCAGCCCCTGCAGTATAGCATCCATTTATAAGCCACTTGCAAAAGGCGGTAACTGACGAGTGGTGGGAGGGAATGCTAACTCCTTGTCTGTGTGTCCTGCGGCAGACAGCTGTAAGTTCCTCCACGACCGCTCCGACTATAAACACGGCTGGCAGATTGAACGGGAACTGGACGAAGGACGCTACGGAGTCAACGGTATGATAGCGGCTCTCTCCCTTCTCTCCCTCAGTTCCGTTCTAATGAGGTCTTGCAGCGTTGGTATTTTAGAATGGGCTAGACTGAGGGCTCTCAGGTGATGAAGGGTAAAGGAGAAGTGATCAGTGGCTCCTTCCCTGTCTCAAATGACATGCTAAGTCGTGGGTCACAGGTTTAAATGAAAGATAAAAAGGACAGTTCTTCATGGCAGCGGGTCACAAAACTGTGGAACTCCCTGTTGCAGGATTGTAGAACCCAGCAATCCAGCTGCAGGACTATCTCCAGTAATTGCTGCTGGTATGAGAACTAAGAAAGGACTGAACAACTCTGCTGATTGCCACAGGGGCTGGAATGAATACCCCTTCTGTGAGCAGCATTGCCAGTGGGCCAGGTTCATCTCCTGGGGGATGGGGACAGAGGAATTAGGCTTTCTTTGACGTATCAGGTTTGCCCTAGTGCCAGAAGCAGACTGTGGCCAAGAAGAATTAATGGCCTGATCTGCTATGATAAATCCTGTGCTTTCTGAAAACTTCACCCCAGGTAGTCTTCCCCCTGAATGGGTATTGATCTGCTGTTGCTCATGGCCCAAGAGCGAGCGATCTCCCAGCTTGTGGAGTGGGGTTGCTGTGACATCTCACTGCCTTCCAGCTGCACTTTCACATGTATTTCCCCATGGGAAACAATGCTATTACTCGCCGCTACGCAGCTCGGATGGTGGCAGTTGCTGCGTCTCACAGCCACAGGCTGAGTGGTGCTTGTGACCGGCCGCAGAAAATTCCAGGGGCCGTGTTGTGTGTGAAGCTGTTGGGTTTGGTTCAGTGTCAGCTAGTCGGGGAGGAACACTAGGAAGGCGGCCTCGCTGGTGTCTGCTTATAGCAGTGAGTGGGCGAGGCAGAGGAACCTGCTCCTTGTGAGATGAGCAGCGAGCATGTTCGCTCATTAGACCTAATTATATCTCATTCCCACGCAAGCTACTGACATCAGAGACACCTCGCTGCCAGAGCTGGGTTATTTCTGGCCAAGGACCAGGCCCACCTGCTGTGTGCATCCTGCGCTGGGCGTAGTTCGTGCTCCGGGCTGACCTGGATGGCCCCTTATCGCCTGACCACGGTTAATTGTTTTCTCTCCCGCAGACGAGGAAAACTATGAGGTGAGCAGCGACGACGAGGACCTGCCCTTCAAGTGTTTCATCTGCAGAAGCTCCTTCAAGAACCCCGTGATTACCAAGTAAGCAGCCACCTCTGCTGCTGGGATGGGGACCCAAGCATCTGGCTTTTGGATCAGTCTCACGGAGTCCATTCCTCACTCTCCATAGCCAGTTATTACCCACCTCAGGGTGACGCTGCATCTGGGCCTTTCAGTTCCTAGCTGCCTGGACCCTTCCCTGGCGTTTTTCTAGCACCGTCCCTCCAAGGCTCCCAAAATGCATTCATTGTCCATTGTAAAGCGTGGCTTTTATCATCAGCCTTGAGATTTTTTCATCCCAATGCTTTACCGGTGCTTCATAAGCATCATCATCCCTACTGTACATATGGGGAAACCGAGGCACAGGATGGTAAAGGGACTTGCCCAAGGTCAAAGAGTGATTTGGTGGCAGAGCTGGAAATAGAATCCAAGCGTCGTGTTGGGCATCCCACCCTACCATCCCGGCAGTGGTGAGCTGGGAGATCTTTGTGCCTGGATTGGGAGCCTCTCCTCTGATTTGACAAGGTCCTGTTAGCATGGCCAGGCTTCCATGTAGGACTCCTGGGAACAGTTCAGTCATGCTCCCTGGCCTGGGATCTCTGCAGAAGCAGCGAACCCCGTTCCTGGGAGCAGGGGCAGCTCTCTTGGGCGTAGGGCCTTGTGCCTTGCTCTCATGCAGGAGGGCTGCAGCTGTTCCTAAGTCTCCAGGCTGTGGGATGTTCCCTCTGCTGCATTTGTACTGTAACAACCCCCCTCAGGCCAGGCCTTGCCGTAATGCCCTTCGCAGGTGCCTGCTTGCTGCTACTGGGCAGGGAGAACGCTAGCTGCTCAGTTCCCCCACGGGTCCCAAGGGAGTGAGCAGAGTCAGAGCCCTCCTGTCTCCAGGTGCCTCCCAGAGATGGTGACTTTGGGTCTATCTCCTGTGGCCACAGTCCTTTGTGGGAGACTTAACCTGGCCCCCTTGTTCCCTCCCGGCAGGTGCAGACACTACTTCTGCGAGAGCTGCGCCCTGGAGCACTACCGCAAATCCAAGCGCTGCTACGTGTGCGACCAGCAAACCAATGGTGTCTTCAACCCAGCCAAAGGTGCCTCACCCCTCCCACCCTGCCGGGATCACAGGCCTTTCTTTAATGCCAACCAGGGGTGGATGTTACTGCTCTGGGTGGGGAGGGCCGTCGCCTCCTCTCCAGGTGGCGTGGCTCGGCTTGGCTCACTCACCTTGCTAAACAGATTGGAAAATACAGATGCCCTAGTGAGTTGGGCTAAAGCTCTGAGCTGGTCTCCAGCCACCATCTCCTTGTAAGCGCCAAGAGCTGCATGCTCTTCCCCAGCGTACAGCTGGCCAAGTGGGGCCAGACGGGGAGCGCAGCAAGAGAGAGGGCCGGGAAGATCTTCTCATGGGCCGGATCCAGTTTTCCTCTTCTGCCTTGGGTGGGATGAGCTGGGCGGGGGGAGCAGCCTGACTGAACACAGTAACCAAGAGCATCCAGAGGGTCAGTGCAGCGCGTGCCTTTGGGTCACATTGCAGCAGGAGGTGGTGGAACGTCCCAGAAATCACGTTTCCCTCTGTCTGCTGGGGAATTACCCAGGAGCCACGAGGCCTAGAAGGGCGTGCGGCTGCTCCCACCTCTCAAGCCCTGCCTGAGCGATTGCAGCTGTCTGCCCGAGCCCGCCTCTTGCAGGCCAGGCCCCAGCCCCGCTCCCAGTTGGCATTGCGCTGGCTCTTCCTGTGCCTGACACCTTGATGGCCCCTTCACCTTACTGGATCCTTGCCTGAGAGCGGAGCTGCAGTTCCAGGGCTCATTTCAACCCAGCTGCACCTCCCACCAGCCAACTCTACCCTCCATGGCTCCCTCTGGCCCTTAGCTGGTACTGAGAGCTATTTACGGTCATCCTGGGGAGCAGCAGCCCTTGGGAAGCACAGGGCCTGTTCAGAGCCTCACCCCTGCTCCTCTTGTCTTTTGCAGAGCTAATGGCAAAGCTAGAAAAGCACAAAGGTGAGGAGTCGGATCCCTCGGAGCATGGAGATGAGCCACAGTAGCACAACCCTCTCCCCTGTTCTCCCTCCCACCCCCACCCCTCAGGTTTTGTAATATCCCAATAAAAGTTTATAGAAAAGACCGGTCCACTTTGGATTTTGCTTCTAGGAAACTGTCACAGGCAGGTGATTAGCTTGTTAATCCAAGCAGCAAGGATCACTAGGAAACCCCCTTGCGCTGAGCTGTCAGACTAGCTCTTTTAGCTGTCAGTGCCGCAGTGGTCTCTGGCCCGTGAAAGTGGGAGACGAAGAAGGGTCTCCCAGCCAGGCTAATGCACAACACAGCCTCCAGTGAGCTGCTAGAGAAAGTGTGCCAGCAGAGCCCTTGCTGCACTGCCAGGACTCAAGTGGCTCTTGATAAGAATAACAGTGAGGCAAACTTTCCTGGGCTAGAAGGTGGTGGTGGCTCATGCATGCTGGGCTGTAGCATTTCCCCCCCCCCCCCTCCATGCCTGTAGGACCACAGTGAGGCTAAGTCCCCTCCAGGCTGCAGCAAACAGCATTTTAAATCACACAATGAGTCGTCATAGTGAGACTCTCACTTTACAAGGAAGCCTGGGTTTGCCCAGTGAGCTTGACAAACAGCTACGTTACTCGTGGTCTCTGCTCCCTGGCAAGCATGAACCCAGAGAAGCTTCTGCCCCAGCTGGTCCTAGTGAGGTTTATTTAAATGGTGATGCCACTAGGGCAGTGGTTCCCAAACTGGGGTTCGCAAAATGTTACAGGGGGTTCTCAGGAAAAAATTCCCTAATGGCGGACAGAGCTGTCCCTAGGGACCCTGGGCAGCACGGGGCCAGCAGCCTGGAGCCCCTGGACTTCCAAGAGCTAAGCAGATCAAAACAAGCATATCTATCACACTGAGGAGATTTAAACTTCAAGGACTCCTTATAAGAAATGGAAAGGGAGGTAAATAGGCAGCTAAGCTTTGTTGTAATGTGTGTTGTTTGCCTGGACTGCTCAAGACTTGAATGCTTGTGTAGGAGGAACTCTTTGAGTTGGCTTCTTAAATACCTTCATGCTGTTTTACATCTGATACTCCTTGATGAAACATAGGAGCCTTGTCTTTTAACAGGCTTATTCAAAGTGTTACAAGCTACGAAAGTGAGATCTTGGAAGAGTGTTGCCATTTTCATAATGTAATAAAAATACTGTAATGATAAATAATAATTAATAATAAAGTGTGTAATAAGCATGTCATAAAAACAAATTTTATATTTCCAAGATCACTGCTTTTATAATTTATACTCAGGTAAAGGAGAAAATCCCTGGAAATATTCATTTTTAGGAGGGGGTTCGCGTGACAACATTTTAGCGAAAGGGGTTCACAGGTTGTTAAAGTTTGGGAACCACTGCACTAGGGTGAGTGACAGCACAGGAGCCAGGAGTTCTTGAGCTATTTTAGAGCAGGGGGAGGAGGCTAAACATATCTAGTAGAGCAGGCTGAAGGATGGGAAGAATTTCACAAATGTGAAGGTGTTTCCAGTTCCCCAAGTTCAAAATGAAACTTTCCAAAACCTCAACCCCTTGAAATGTCAGATGTCCCCCCCCTTTCTGGCATCACTGTGAAGGGATGTCTAAAGGATTTTACTTTGTCCGTTTATCTTTCCCATCTTGCTTTTAAAAGAGGTGCCAGTCTCCCATTTATTTATTCGCCCTGGTCTGCTCTATGTAGACTCAGACTTTAAGGTCAGAAGGGACCATTATGATCATCTAGTCTGACCTGTAGCATTGATTGTGCCGGTTAGCATCCACCCCTATGCTCTGGGCTTTGCCCTCGGTGTACCTGTCTTGAAACCCTCCACAGCATGAGGGCGGGGTTCAGCTTTCCACATCAACCTCCTACATGTTGCTCACAACACTATACAAAAACATCCCAGCACTCCGCTCTTCATGTCCTAAGTGCAGTGAATGGGAGCTCAGGCTGGAGCCTCCTACTGAATTTAATGTGATTGCTTAGCTGGCTCCAGCCCACTGTGCTACAATTCCTTTGAGCATTTAAAATCTAAACTAAATTACAAGAGTAAAAGGGCATCCAATCAATCTTCTTCAGCTAGACCGGCTGTCACCGCCACAACCCAGCAGGAGAAACTTCAGCTCACAGGTTAGTTTGGGGAGCTTTATGCCTCTGAAAACAGGGGTTGGGTATCCTAAAGTTTTCACCTTGACTGTGGCAGTGATGTCATACACTGAGGGAGGGTGAAGCAGGGTGGATTTGCCATGCACAAAGGATTATTTCTGGCATTTACTAAACTAAGCCGAGCAGTTTAATAGGTGTAATTTCCTGGAGCTCTCTCGTTTCCCTAGGTATCATCACAGGCTGTTTCTACATGTGGGTTGAAGAGCCTTTTCCCCCTCCTCCCTAAACCTGTTAAGAGTCTCACGGCAGTGTCTTGATTTTCACTCTTCAAGACAGCCCCAGGATAATACAGTAACAAGGGTCCCACTGTTAGTCATCAGCTAGAAGTAGGCAGACCTAAAACTTCTGACAGCTACATCTGTACAAGGGCCATTCACGTGGTGGGAAAACACAGCCCCTTTAGTTCCACACAGCTTCAAATAAACCACTTCCCTTCCTACACTGTACTGTGACCCTGGCAGATGCTAGTCCTTGAGGTTAGAGCTGCACTGATTTCCTCCTGTAGCAAGCGCTTCCCGGGATTCATGCCCCAGGTTGGTGTTAGAGAAGGAGGCGGCTGTGCTACTGAAGCAGCCATCACTTCAGGCAACACTAAGCTAACATCTGGCCAAGTCTGTGGTTGGCCAGGTCCCATTGCACTTTTTGCAGAAAGGGGGACTCTGGATTGTGTCCTGGACCCGTTCCAATTCATGTAATGACATTCTGCCTCTAAACTCTCCCCCCGCTGCAGGTTCAGTGGTACTGTATTTGTTTCCTGTCCTTCACGCTGCTGTGTTGTTAAATGACTGCACTTCAGTGGTGGGCAAAGTGACCCTTTCCTAGTACTTTATCCAGCAAAGGTGAGGTGGTTAGACTGTGTAAAGTACCCAACCGAAGGTCTAAACAAAAATGAGAATCTCTAGCTCTTTTATAGCACTTCTCAGCATCTCTCACAGCGCTTTGCAAAGGAAGGTCAGTGTCACGGGCCTCATTTTAACATTGTTGCCACGTATAAGACAATGTCCGCCCACCATCGCCCACCGCTTTTCATCGCAAATTGCTCCTTCAGACCAACACGATTCATGGATTAAGGCCAGAAGGGACCATTGTGATCATCTTGTGTGACGACCTGCATAACAGGCCAAGTCAGACTGGTCAAGGAGAGGGACCCTTCAGCATCTGCACAGAGCTAAGGAAATACAAGGAACACTTCAGAAATACTTACATTTTTATTTGTTTTGGCAACAAAACTAGAGTAACAAACTTTATTCGAGTTCAAGTACAGTTTATAAACACAAAAAGGACCTGTTGCCAGTACCACTGCTCTCGGTGACCACCAGTACAGGACCGGATTCTCAGTGCTTCATTGAGAAGGAAGCTCTATGATGCTTAGAAGGATGAACAAAAGGCCTTAAAATGCAGTCTGGAGAACCGGACCACCCCAGTGAAGGGAGAGCTGCCACAGCAGCAGAGGGTCCGCCAATGGCAGGGCACAGAAAGCAGCACACAGAGAGCGAGCTCCCAACTTACCTTTCCCCCTCCCATGGTAGGTTCTCAGAAACAGAAGCTGGCCAGCACGTTTCATGCAGTGACATTAGCCTTGCTGCAGGATGGGACCAGCCAGATAAATGGCATTTGTTGTAAAATATAGTATGGTGCAGTTTCAAAGACATTCAAAACTACATCTTACTTTTAAAAAATGCAGCTGGTGGCTACACGAAGAGGCAGGAGCAGCTGGTTAGTCCCAGAAGCCTGGGGTGCTCTTCGGACCTGCACGTCAGGACATTCAGCGCCACATGGCAAGAGTTTAAACAACAACAACAACAAAGATCTACCCGTCTCCTTGAAGAGACGAATGCAGCCTTGCAGAGGAATCTCCAAGCCTCTGAGCATGGCTGGAATAGAAGGGGACACCTTTTTCCAGTGCTGCCTGGTCTTCCATTTTCCTCTCAATAAAGCAGCAGGCTCAATCGGTTATTGTGAAAAGAGTGACCCCGTGAGAAGAATGCTACAGTGATAACCTGGACATTCTCTTCTAGACCGCCAAGTCTTAGAAGAGTTGCATTCCTTCTCCCCTCTCCCACATTTGTCGCAAAGGCACCCTTGTAAAGGAACAAAACAAAGGGTCTATCTAAAGATAGGCTAAAGACACAAAGAACCCTCTGAACTCTGGACATTAGAGAGTCAGTAACATGGGGAAAACGACGTGTATGGAGACCAACAAATTGGGACTGACTCAACTCTGGCGAGCAAAACTAATACAGCCTATACCTGATGCTCAATAGCAAGAGCTGGGAGGCTCCTGGCACCAAGCAGGAAACATTCAGCATTTCCTACAAACAGCTCCCTTTTTCCAGCTAGTTTCTGTCCAAGGGTGATTCCAGGCTCTACTCCTCAAGTAAACAGGTGAAGTTCCTTACCATAGTCATGTAAACTCTTCTGCATGTAACATTCATCGCGGCTTCATTTGAGAGGGGTCAATAAATTACTATGTCCAGAAAGCTCCTTCAAGGGCTTAGAACTGTATTATTTGCCACGTTGCTCTAGAATTCCCAGTCATCCACCTCTAGCTGTTCCAGACTGGATACCAGTCCAAAAATGCCACTGGGATCCTGTGGCCGCGTACCTTCGAAGTTGGTGATTGGTGTGACAGGGCGCAGTAGTTCAGGAAGTGCTTCGGACGCACGACGTTTGATCTGGGGGCGGAGGGAGAGTTAGTTTTGGTTTGAGCTGTTCTCAGAGGCAACGGTTTTACGGCATTAGTACCATTCGCACCACATGTATGACATCACAATATGGACTGGGCTAATAGCAGCAGCACAGCCAGCTGGCCAGGGACGTCAGTCCGTCTAACCCAATCTTCTGTTGCCCGAGTTAGGAGCGCTGCAGGGTTTGGCGCTGTGCCCTCTAAACTTGGTGATAAACCTCCTCCATCTTTTTC